GAGATTTTCCATGGACATAACAGAAGCTTTTCCTTTCAATTAAGGCAAACATGGTTAATACACATAACAAATGTGTGAAATCTCAGAAAGGTATTGCTATATAGATACCAAATTAACTCAGATCATATTTTTTAAACAGAGAAAAAGAATGTCCCCTCCTTACTGGGTAAACCTCATCTCACTGTCCATATACCATGTCTTATATCAACACATCGTTTTTTCAAATTTGCCATATATCTCAATACAGTTATTTTATGCGCAAAAGTGTGTACAGTCAAGGCTATAGTTTTCCCAGTTGCAATGTATGGCTGTGAAAGCTGGACCATAAGGAAGGCTGAGCACCGAAGGATTGAGGCCTTTGAATTGTGGTGCTGGAGGAGACTCCTGCGAGTCCCTCAGACTGTAAGATGATCGAACCGGTCAGTCCTAGAGATCAACCCTGACTGCTCTTTAGAAGGGCAGATACTGAAGATGAAACTCAAATACTTTGGCCACCTAATGAGAAGGAAGGACTCCCTGGAGAAAAGCCTAATGCTGGGAACAATAGATGGCAAAAGAAGAAGGGGGCGGCAGAGAATGGGCTAGATGGAGTCACTGAAGCATTTGGTGTGAGCTTAAGTAGACTCTGGGGGATGGTGGAGGACAGGAAGGCCTGGAGGAATGTTGTCCATGGGGTCGCGATGGGTTGGACACAACTTTGCAACTAACAACAACAACAACTATTAGTATCATATTGTAGTTTTCAAGAGGATGTTGCTCTCAATTCTCATTTGATGTGTTCTGGTAAAAGGCGTGTAGTAGCCTGGTAATAGTGTGGTGAACTTAAACTTGGAAAAAAAAAACCTTGTGAAATGTTCACTTCACGATAAGTGAACTAAAGTTGAACTACGAAACTGGTTTGACAAATGTCTCAGTCTTAAACACATTTCATGTATTAGTTGTCTAGGAATACTATCTAATGCCAGTTGTACTACACTGGGTAGGATTTCTATATATGAGCTTACAACATTCACTGTCAATGGAACTGAATGCTGAACTAAACACAAGGTTACAATAGCATATTTTGATAACAGCCTTATACAAAAATTAACACCAAAACAAGATCCAAGTACATTTGTTAAATTAGAATAGAAAAATGTGTCTTTTCCAATTTAGCTACTTAACCAGGCAAATTCAATACTAAATTATTATATACAAGCGCAGCCTAAATTGAGACTGAATATCAGAGAAATCTGGATCAAGCTGAAATAATACGCATACACTTCAACACATTGTGCAGAATTGCCATGCTTTCAAGTTACCAAATTAACATGAGGATAGGGGGCTTATTACAAGCAGAACAGACCAAAAAACTATGTATTTTAATTTACTGTCCATCATTAGTGCCTATCACAATATGCATAACTCACTTGGATACACTAAGATGACCCAGGTGTAGTACAGTGGTTAAACACTTCAGCTTCGATATGAAAAATTAATTTCATCACTCTGCCATGAAACTCAATATGTAGCCTATGTCAACCTAGTTTCCTCCATAGAGTTGCTGTAAGATTAATGTACTTCTCTGAACTTCTTGAAGAGGGATACAAATATACAACTATTCAATCCAATAGTTCAGTTCCTGGAATATGATTCTGCTCCCCCAAAGGCTGTTACTTCTTCTATGTCCAAATAGTCATATGTAGAGGGACAAAGTGACTGAGGCTGTAAATTTCTCTTCATATCGAGAGTCTCTCTGTTGCTACATTATACATGCCCATGAGTTAATACAAAAGATAATGCTTGAGATTTTATTTCTAAGTAAGCACAGCATGTCTTTAATCATGGTGGTCCACACTCTTTTTAAACTTGCTACCCAAGGAAGCCCACCTAAGCCAGGCAAACTGATTTTAAAAAATGCAATGATAAAATATGTTTATTTGTTTTATATGAGAACTTGAGGGTTGTGTTGCCACCAATTTTTAAGGCTGACTATGCTGCTTTATTAGACTTGTGATTGAGTTACCCAAGCATCTACTATATAGCTGCACAAGAATCTACAAAAATTGAATGTACTTTTTTATAAAAAGGCAAATATGACCAACTCAGTGCCTGCAGACCTTGATCTTCCTCTATCGGAAGCGGCAAACAAGCCTCTATGACTGCTTCTGAGCCAGCATTACCCTTCCTCCCAGTGGGGAAACAGAAGACAAGAGAACTTCCACATTTGAAGAACTTAAAAATTGTATTTATTTTCTTTTTTTAAGGTGAAAATGAAATGCTTAAGCTTGAAGAAAGTCTCGGTATTCATATTTGAAACACAATCAGACTGATTCTTCAACAGAAAACCCTGCTTTTCATGGGATGAAAAATTAAAACAAATGTCTATGTTTGACTCAATTTCTTGCCAACATGTGTATGACAGAACTATTAATTCTTTATATGCAACTGTAAATGTGGGTCTACTGCATTTATGAGGAAACATAATTTTAACAGTGATATTTTTAATGAGAAATTTAGTATTTTATTTACAAATTGTTCAAAAACTGATTTACATTATAAAAATTGAATTTTAAAATATCAATTTTGATCCACCCTGATGTACTTGCAAATCAGTTTTTTGTGTTTTACTTTTGGAGTCAGAAGCACCAATTTCCAGTTTATCACATTTCTCATTTGTCAATAAACCGATGTTCATTTGTGGAGCAACCACATTTGTTAGGGCCAGAATACTTCCCGAGGTCCTGTAACCCATCAGGCATTCTTTTAACACCAAAGAAAATTCAGAGGCCTCGGGGGAGACATCCACAAGTTTTGCCTTAGCAACCAAATTTTGTCACCAAACCTTTCCCAAGATTTCTAGCAAATGTGGAGGACTTGGGAGAAGAAGAGGGAGGACCAGAATTGCACATGATAGGATCATTCCTTAAACACCAAGTCTGACTTTAGATATGCTATCTATTGCAGAGGACAAGACTTGTGCTTTTGAGTGTCTCTGACTAGCGAATTATCAAAATATTTAAAGTATCTGCAACAATGCTTATTTGCACAAATAAGGTTGTTAGTCTTCCATGAAGCTTTACTAAAGATCAAGAGTGCTGAACTATAGGCTTAGAAAATACCCTAACTTGGTAGCTTAATTTTTTACATTGAGTTAGAAAAATCCACACACAAGGCATTCACAATAAATTCTTGTCCAAAAAATTGAGGCATTAATATCTAGTTGAATTAAGCCAAGATTCTGCAAGCAGAAAAACTACACTATACTATATGCAATTGCAAAAAGACTGCCCTATCACCAGTGCCATGAATATAATAAAACATTTTCATCAACCTCTACCTCCCAACCAAGAAATGACTCTTAGCTTCTTAGATCCAGATCACTGCCCAACAGGGGCAGTACCCAGCTATGGCTCCACTTCTTCCATTATGCCCAATGGAACAGTTACTAGAATAAAAGGAACTAGTGCTTTCTGAAGGAGTGTTTGAATTGAGCCAAATAATCATTTGTGTAATGGAGCAAGTTAGTGAAGCTCCCTACTGTGACCTCCATGATTTGCCCCATTCCAGAAACTAGAGTTTTCACTCATTTCCAATTGCTTCAGGAACCACAAGCTTCCCATTGTGCTAGAAGTAGATTCTGCTACACAGGACTGTATAGGCACTGGATAATGCCTTATTAGGCAACATGGAAGTCAAAATAAAAAGCATGTTATTATATAAAACCAAACATTAAAGATTTCAGATGAGGAAAAATAAACCTGATTCTTCTCCTTGAAGCACATATTTCCTGACCAAGTAAAGCTTTCCTCAAACATGAAGAAATTAATATGTTTTAGATTAAGTTTAAATCCCACAGCTTTTTGAGTAATAACTAAATATATTGCTAGGTTCTCCCATGGTGTAATGGTTAGACTGCTGTACTGGGACTTTGGACCTCTTGGTTCTAGTGTCCACTCAGCCATGAAGCTCACTGGGTGACTGTGGACCAGTCACTGACTCTTAGCCTAACCTATCTCACAGGGCTGTTGTGAAGATAAAATAGAGAGGTGAAGTATTTTGTAAGATGCTTTAGATTCCTGAATGCATAAACAGAAAAAATGTAAATTAACCAAAACAGATTCAAACCTATTGCTGCTGTATTGTCACAAGTCATGGCATTACCAGTGTAGCAAAGCACCAAAGAAAATGCACAGGTCCATTAACTGTGCACTCTTGAAACACCATATTAGAAGTTATATGCAGGCAGAGTTGGGCCACGATAGAAGAACAGGCCAAAACTAATACTTAGCACTATTTTATGCACATCAACAGAAACAGATTTTTTTTTTAAACCCAATTTGAAGGTCCATAAATCAAGTAGTTCCAATAGAACATGGAAGGACACAATGATTACACAGCTATGGACCACAATGTAAAGTTAATAAAGAACTACAAGCAGAAAGCACTCTGAACAGAGATCACAGCAAAAGCTACAGCACAGGATCACACTGCAATGCAACCAGATTCCACCAACACAAGTACTGGTAAAACAGCCCTTTGCAAAAATACATGAAATACAGAAAGAAAACAGCATAAACAATGTGACATAAAACATTTAGATATATGGAACAAGTCTTGAGAAATATAATAGTTCAAATAGGATTAGTACAATGCAAGGTAAGGAACTGCTATTAAAACTTTATCTTCTATCCTTAACAATTTACTGCATTTGTATGAAATGACAAGCAGTCATGTTTCTAAGCAGTTATCAAGTTTTGTCCCAATCTCATAACAAAGCAACCAAAACCATTCAAACACAGGCAAGGGGGAGAAAGAAAAACAAAGCAGTGTGTTGGACTTCAGCTTCCATGTGCCCCAGTCAGAATGGCCAATGGTCAGGCATAACATGACTTCAAAATAATCTGAGGATGTCAGGTTGGACAATGCAGCCTTACCCTAAACAACTAACTCAAATGTTGCTATCCTGCTGCAATCCAAAACTCTCACACTTAAACGTTTCATTAAATTCAGGAACTTACTTCTGAGTATTTGGGATCCACATGTCAATTAACCAAGCCAACAACTGGACTTAAACTGCAACTGTGAAAACTGAACATATATCTAAAATATCAAAACAGACAAATTATGTGAACAGTCAAATCAGTATGCAACAATTCTCTGCTATCCTTCTTATAGCAAATAATAATATTTAAAACATATATTGGGATTTTAAAGAAACACATTTCCTAATTTTATAGATGCTCATTCCTTCTGATTGCGTTAATCAGGTATTTTATTGTCATATCACTGTAAGATGCCCAGACAGCCTTTTGGTTAAGGGGTGCAGCATATAAGTGTAATAAATAAATAAATATAATATTACCCAAGGTTGAAGATAATATGATACCCATAAAATAGTTATCTGACTTTAACTTTGAAAAAAACCAAGATTCTTCCTTTGTTAGCCAATTAACAGTAAATACACCAAGCAGTTCTCATCAAGCCATCTTTGATAGTCAGTATAAAAGAACAGGTCCCTAAGAAATTATTCTGATTCATAACAGCTTTGAAAAGTCATTTCAAGTATCACTTTTAAAATTTCATTATCCAGAATACCTTTTCTAATATCCAAAAGCCTTACAAGAACCTTTGGTCAAACCAGATAAAAGACACACTTTTCCTTTTTGGAAATTAATTCTGAAATCTGCTACATTCTTCATTTTAAATCCTACCTCCACGACTCCTCACAAAAATGGTCAGTCACTATAAATACTGCTACTGCTTCAGGTACCTATTTCTTTCTCTAATTACAAGTATATATAATTGTACATTCCCAACATTTTGGAATAACCATATATACTGATAATATAATGTATTTATTTTTCCTGAGATCTGTATCCAAACTTTCCATTTTACTACGAAGCCCTCAATTACAATAATATGAATCTCTTATAATATTTATCATCATTGTATGATTAATGCATTGCATTTATATCCCACTTTTTTGTAAGAAACCTAAGACGGATTACATAGCTCAGTTTTACCTTCACAACAACCCTGTGAGGTAAGTTAGGATGAGTGTGTGTGATTGGCCCAAAGTTAACCAGTAACTTTCATGGCCAAGTCAGGTTAGAGCCCAAATCTCCTAAATTCCCATTCTTCTAAAACAGTGCAGCCATCACACAACAAATGTGTTGTTTCCCTTTACTGGTTATTTAAGAAGCTAACCTACAATATGTCATTGAACAGGCTGGTTTTTATAAGGTAGTCTGAGTGTCTTATGTGTATCAATGACCTATAGGAGGGTGAATGTGGAAAATGAACAGTTGCTGTACTGCATTCTTGCAAGTACACTTTTATACCCACTCCTATACCTAACTAGGAATGCAACTACCAATGTTTTCAAATGGGACAGTCATCCAGGTAAGAATGCATAACATTTCAAATTTTAAATCAAATCATTTCAAATTTCAAATCAGATCATTTCAAATCAATAAGAATATGTTAGTAATTTTCCCCATAAACATATGAGAAAATTGCACTGTAGCTTATTCCATGTGATAGTAATAAATTGTTTAAAGCACTTGATAAATCACAGTGAAGCACCATCCTGAACTCCAGAATTGGTGATGCACACTAATATTTTGATAACTGGACCCATCTAATCTTCAAAGTAAATTTCCTGTCTTCTTTATGAAAAAATGGACTTCAAAACTAGAATAAGACAATACCTACATGTTAGAAATTATTAAAGTTATCTGCATCACATTTGCAAGTTCTTCATTTTTATCCATATTTTCTTAAGTGAAATAGATACTATTTACATCTTTGAACCCACAGCTATGTAGAACTGGTAAATTTATTCAATTAAGTTCTACTCTTCCAACGGGTTCTTGTATAATACAATAATTCTTGATTTGGTATAATACAAATGTTTTAAGAAAGCTAATAGGAGCTGATTAGCACACCATTCGTAAGTTGTTGTGGCATCAGTTATACTATACCAAAACTGGATGCACTTTAGTTATACTGTGACCATGTCCTCTCTTTTATATTTTAACTACTGGCAACTATATAGAATCACACCCCCAAATTTCAAGTCTACTTCAATACAGAAGTGCATCCAAACAAAAACTGTATCATTTAGCTATACTGTGCAAAAGTAACTATTTACACCAGAACAAAGTATTTTAGTCAAGCTCACAAAATATTGAAAATCCTAAGAAAACACTATTCATGTAATCCAATCCTAAACATGCATATACAAAAATCTCAAATGGGGCTTAAAACACAATTGTGCATAGGACTGCAACGTTAAATTTCTCTTTGGTTCTGAAGCTAGCCCCATCCCCCACTCCAGTAAACAAAATGCATCAGGCAATATTGCTATGGCTGCAAACATTGTTCATTAAAATCAACTGGAGTTTTGCTACTAACTTATGTCAAGATAAAATTGTCACCTAAAAGTGCTTACATTTTCACACACTAACCCTGGGTGTTCTAAAAGTATGTCAAAGATTCAAAAATATACATAGAAGATGGTATTTTTTCCTAATTAGAAAAAGTTCTTCAAGGATAAATCAAAGTGAATTGTAATGTAATTTTACAGAGTAACTATGAGATCGTAAAGCATCAAAAACACACAAAGAACCAATAGGTATTTTCGAACCTAATGGGGAAAAGAAAGTGAATTCTGAAGGCTTATCCTAAATGAAGGCGGATTTAAGGAGAGTGCAGCCATGACACAAACCACCTGCACCTATGACAATGTTTACAACGAAGACGAAAGCGCCGAGACTGGTCGTTTTAAAGCCGGATTCAGAAAGAAAGAGCTTGAGGAAGGCCTTGTTTCCTGGCGGAGCCCAGGCCTACACGATTCCAATCACTCCACCTCAGAAATGGCGTTCCGTGAGAAGTGAAACGAGAATCAAAAGCAACTAAATGCCGGGCGAAGCTGCGCAGTGAATCCCTTGACTTTTTTGCTCATCAGTTCGACCGGCTATTTAAGAAGGGGTCAGGCCAGCAGCCGGCCAGCCCTGCAGGTCGTGTCCCCACCCTCCCAAAGCTGCAGATACGGGGTGTGCGCGCCCCATTCTCCCGCAAGGCCCAGGACAGGCCGGGCAGAGAGAGAATGAAGAGTCGTCAGCCATTTTCCCTTCTCTCCCCGAAACACACTGGCACACGCATGAACAGACGTTTCTCTTTCCAAGGCACAGTGAAACACGTACGAAGGGACACCCACTGGAGTGCCGCCACCCCGGATTCCTCCTTCCCCACCTAGTGCCCCTTTCCTTTCTCAGGCGAGCCCCAGCAGCCCAACCCCTTTCCCGGCTAGCTCACCCCAACACAGCGTCCCCTGCTTCCGCCGCTGCTCCAGGCTCTGGTGCCGAGGCCCGCTTCGTTCCTGGGCGCTGCTGCTGCTGGTTCTGCTGGCGATGGGGGGAGGAGGAGGAGGCGGGTGTGGCCGAAGAGTTTCTCATCCCAGGCGGCCGCAGCAGCAGCAACCCACGGAGCTACGTCTCATACCGGTGAAGAGTCAAGGCACGGCTGCTCCTACTCTACACGCCGGCTTAGCCAACCCAGACGCTAGAGGAAGCCGCCCGCTGTGTCGTGAACCTGGCTGAAGAGCTCCTTTCGGGGGCGCCTGGGCGGCTTCCCCCCCTTTTTTCAGTTTTGCGTCACCAGCTGTTTGGGGCCGCCGCTTCACGGCGACGACCGCAGTACTGTCGTTCAGTGGCGAGGCCTGGGTTGGCGCTTTTTCTTGCCAGGCAGCTCCCGTTAGACTGGGCCGGGCCTGCAGTCTCTCTTCCTTCCAGTCCGGGGGAATCAGATACGCTCAGTCCCTGGAGAAGGACACGGAAGTACGAGGGATCAGGGAGGGGGCTCTGCTCGGCAAGGCCGGCTAAGGGGACGCAACGGAGCCTAGTTCTGGAAGAGGAGAAAGAAAACCTCAGAGCGATGAATAGCTAAGTTGCTGCGGCGGCAGAGACGGAGCGTCTGTGTCCCGGGCAATATGGCGGCTCTAGCAGGGCTCGGCCAGCAGCAGCAGCAGCAGCAGCAGCAGCGCAGACTCCGATTCAACGCAGCGGCGCCGACCCCGCCACCCAAACAGCATCCGCGGCGGCGAGCGTGAACCCCCTCCCTTTCCTGTGTCAGTCAGTCACTCCCACAGCCCCCCCCCTTCCGCGTCCCAGAGGCAGAATGGACGGCAACTGCAGTTTAGGCTTTGCCTTGTATGGGTGGAGGGCAGCGGGACGGGGGTCGCTGCGCGACTGTGGTGGGAGTCCTGGCGCGGGAGGATGTACCGAGGGAGGGGTCGGGCCGAGTGGTGACAGCGTTGACGGGAGGACAGCGGTAAGGACGGTGTCCGCGCGGGACCTGGCCTAGCCGGGCCAGGCCGCGTTAATGAGGCGAATGGCTGCGCGGCCGTTTCCTTTCGGTTGGGCTCCGTTTTGGCTCCATTGTGACCAGCGGTGCGAAGAGCGCCGCCGCGGAGAGCCCGGATAATGACGTCACCCTTCGTGCTCGAGAGGGGAACAGCTCCGATCCTCCCCTTCCCTTTCCCTCGGTCCCAGGGGCCAGCCAAAGGCTGACGCGTGGGTGGGGCGAGCGGGCGGAGGAGCTGGCTGCTGCTGGGCTGCCAAGGAAAAAGGGGACGAGCATTGGTTCCTCTGGCTACCTTTGGGGAAAACTTAAGCAAAATCCAGGAAAGGGCTCGCGGCGTTAATCGGCTGGAGCTTCTCCTCACTGCGCGGCTGCGATCGACAGACGTTGCGCATCGTTATTACCAGAGGAAATTAGTCTGCACTCTCTCGTCTGGAGAAAACCACCGGAAATAGCAGTGAAGACAACAGAAGTAATGCTGGGTATAAGGATATCAGAGCCGCGATGCCCATTTCTGTTATCTGCTAGGCTGAGAAGACACACCCATGATGATGATGATGATGATGATGATGATGATGATTTGTAGGAGTAAATAATAAACAAGGACATATTTTGTTCAATCTGGCAGGAGCATGTGTACCCAGCATTATTCTACAGGCTGAAAAAGTTGATGACCAAGTAAAACCTCTCATACTTTACTTCTTCATAACTAGAGTTAGACACACATACTTCAATTCATGTTCATTTCCACAAGCTTTTCCCCTACTGGATAGTTTCTTTCTGTAGATTAATTATAATGTATTGTTGTTCATTTGCTGGACTTGTTGGAATTAAAGTCAGTGAACTGGTTGACAAGGATGGTAGCATGCTAGTAGACATGAACATAATGGGGATTCCTTTCAGGGATTTTACCCCAGCTTCAGGTCTAAACTGGGGGTAAAATAAGAGCTGTGGTAAGGCTGGAACGATAACTTTTTTTCAGACATACTCTGATTATATTCAAATTTTCTTCAAAAAGCAAGCAATTTCCTTAGCTTGAAAAAGAACTGTAAAGGAGGTTCATACTCATAGTCTTGCAACTCTTTACAGTTAAATGTATGTAACTTCTTATGTTTAACTGCTCACTGATCATGCATTGATTCCTGACCAGCACCTTGGGAACCTTCATCATTTCTGGATGAAGATGCTAAGTTGCATGCTTTCTTCAAATGCAGCTGAATGGTCATCTGAGAAGGATGGTTTAACTTGGGAGTCCTACACTGAGCAGGGGATTGGATGTGATGGCCCACGGCCTCTTCCAATTCTACTATTCTACAATTCCTAGTTTTCAAACCAATTGTTGTCTTTTTAAGACTTCTGGAACCTGGTAGTTGATAAAATAAAGTCTGTTTCATTAACTAAGTAAACACATGAATGTATGATGTAATAGGGTCTAAATAAGCTTTCCCAAGCTGGAGCCTTCCAGATGTTTTGACCAGCCCCTCCCATTATCTCCACTGGCCGCGTTTCCTAAGCTAAAAAGTCCCAGTTGTAGCCATTCTTCATAGGGAAGTTGCTCCAGCCCCCTGATCACTTTTGTTGCCCTTCTCTGTACTTTTTCCAAGTTAATTATGTCCTTTTCAGGCAAAGTGACCAGAACTAAACACAACATTCTAACTGCAGACATACCAAAGATTTGTATAAGGAGAGTAAGTTCTATTTTCTATTTGGTTCCTCATTATGCCTTGCATGGAGTTTGCCTTTTTCACAACAGCTGTTCACTGGGTTAACATTTTCATTGAGCTGTCCACTACTGCCCAAGATCCCTTTCTTGCTAAGTTAAAAGTTGAGTTAAAGCTCAGTTGAAATTAATAAAGGCCAATATTATACAATTTTAAAGCCAGTGTGGTGTAGTGATTAAGAACACAGGACTGGGACTCAAGCAATCTGGAATCTAGTCCCTGCTCAGCCAACTAGGTGACTTTGGGCCAGTTGCAGACTCTCCACCCAACCTACCACAGAGGATTGTTGTGGAGATAAAATTGAGAGAAGATGGGAATGATGTACATTGCTTTAATTTTTTTACAAAAAAAAGGGTGGGACATAAATTTTAGGCAGAATGAAGGGCCTATAACCTTCAATATGCCCAAGACACAAGCATGCTAGAAGTTCAGCCTAAATTTGCATAGGACTGAACCCTAATCTTCCTTTAAAGTCATCCAGACTGGTAGTCATCACTCTTCCTTATAGAAGTGGAATTTACTTCATTAAGGAACTACTTCCTTTTTTCTGTCTTCAATCTCACACTATTTAACTTTACAGAATGAACCAGATTCTAGCAATGAAATCCACGTTCTTCACACTGTGTATCATTCTATATACCTCATATACTGCCTTACCTCTTTTTCTAAGCTAAATGCCAAAAGTAACCTTTCTTCATAGTGCATATGGATACAAATCTGACATTAGAAATGGCAGTGATCACAAACCAATGGGGAAACATTCCAGACTCCCACAACTGTCTATGACCTTACAGTGACCATTCTTGAACAATTGCAAAACTTGATATGTGAAATTAATATGGAATTGCTGAAGTATAATTCATCAAGAGAGTCAATTTCTAGTGGTTTGGCACTTATTTTAAATCAGACTATATTTATTAATGGATTCACCATTGCAATGATGTATCTGCTATTACCCAGCAGCACTTTGTGAATGGAAACTGCTAAGATATTTATCACTGCCTGTATGTTTTGAATTTCAATTTCCTCTGATAGTACAGTGTACATATTTGGGATACATTTCATGCATCTGATGAAGTGGATAGTATCTATAAAAGCTTATACCTGAATAAATGTATTAATCTTTATCAAATTATTTGTTGTTTTTCATCATTGGATTATCATTTTCTGCAATTTTACCAGCTGTATGATATCTGTTTATAGATAAACCAGAACTGGACATGGTATTTCAAGAGTGGTGCACTATTTATTTGTATAAGAGCATTCTGATATTGACAGTTTTATTTATGATTCCTTGCATGATCCTCAACATAGACTTTCGTTTTTTCACAGCAGTTCCACACTGGGAGCCAGTCTGCATATCATGCTACCATTCTCTGGCTTGTTGAACTCAAGAATTGCAAAGACAAAGGGAGTGCAAGAGCTGCACACCCATAGTTTCTCTTCTTGATTAACAGCTTCAACATTGGCCATGTTTTGCCATGTTTACTTTTGAGTTATTCAACCCATAAACAACCCAGAGTTTCTGGGTTTGCACATCACAAAACAACCAGGAATGAGGCATTCCTCAGTCAACCATTAACAGCAGAAATGAGTGAGTGGGTCACATGGCTTGCTCATCTCCACAATTCTTGGGTTAAACAACCCAGGAAATGCCACCATGATATAAGAATCAGGTTTGGATCAATGTTCCCAATGAACTATCCCCTACATTACCCAGATCCCGTTCTTGATCACTCACAAGCAGCTCAGACCCTATCTCCTCTTTCACAGTACTTTCCCTGCTCCTTTTTTCACCCTACAACCTGGACATTCCAGAAAAACAGTTGCACAACTCTAACTGATTTAAAGTTTTATCTACTCACATCATGAGAGGTAGAAAGGTTGGGAGTTTTACAGTTATATAACTTTATGTATATAAATGTACATATACTTCTTGAAACTAGGGGTGCATTCCTATGCTTGTTTGGACAGAAAATACCTATCTTTGTCAGTATTTCCCAGCACCCTAACAAACATTCCACAAACTATAACTCAACATTCTAACAATATAACCAATTTTATCCATATTAAAAATTAGTTCTAGGGTTAGTCATGTTGATACCATAAAACCGTCGTTACTGGTTTTTCGGCGCCAGGTAAAGACCTTTTTATTTAAACATCATTTCAATTGTTAAAACATATGATCTGGCCTGGGCAACTTCTTCTTCCTTCTCTTTCTCCTATATTTTTATTTTATACTGATAATTTTAATTTTGTATTTGTAAATCAATGTATTTTTTGTATTGTTATATTTAATGGTAATTTATTATGTACAATTGTATTTCAATGTATTTTATCATGTTGTAAGCCGCCCCGAGGTTTCGGCAAGGGGCGGCATAGAAATGTTATAATAATAATAATAATAATAATAATAATAAAATTATTTACTTCAATAGTATGAAATCTGGCATGCAGTGTCATTTGCGTGAGAGAGAATACAATTGACATGTCAGAGAAATCAGATTAAAATGGCTGACTTACAACAGTTTTACAAATGGAGGAAATAGGGTTGTTTTTTTGCTGAATGTTTTACACAATTTTGTTGACAGAGGATGAATAGTTTAAACCAGGCTCTGTCAAGAATTAAAGAATTCCCTGTGCCCCTCCCTGCCACTCCATATAGGGGCTGTGTTCACACATAGCAACAAGACATGGCAGGCATGCCTTGTCATTACATGTGAACCTAATAAGCATGGTGAAGCATGGTCCATTTGGTGAATCCCCATGGAGGACCAACAGGCTGTTTGAAGGTTTCTGTGCTTCACTATTGCTTGTGGTTATGCGTGACTTCATTGACAATGTTTTTCTGTCCTTTCTCAGAGTAAAAGATCTCAGAGTAATTGTAGACAATAGACTAAACATGAGTCAACAATGTGGTTTTGGTTTGCATTAACAGAAGTATTATTTCCAAATCACAAGAAGT